CAAACTTAATATTAAAAAAAAAAAAAAAAAAAAAAGAAAAAGAAAGAAAGAAAAAAGAGGATACAAAAATTACGTAATAATTTGAACAAATAATTACGTAATTAATTTGAATTCAGCAAATAGTTATATGTTAATGATAAGCAAACTACATAGAAAATACTATTATATTATACTATAAATAAAACTATATAGAAATAAATTACACGTGAATGTATATATATATATATATATATATATATATACATACTTATGCAATTTACTTTTTGAAATTTGTATTTAAACGATAAAGTGTCGTTAAAATGCAAAGTGTTTATCGTTAAACTTCCGATGAAGGAACAATGCATGCGGGCCACCACCTAACGAATTCTGCAACGAAAAGAAAGAAAAAAAAAAAAAAGAAAAAAGAAAAGAAAAAAAACAGAGAGAAGGACAAGGCGCGCGCGCGACAGAGAGAGAGAGAGAGAGGGGGAGAGAATTTATTCTTCTTTTGGAGTTTTTCTTCGAAAAACACCTGTCTGTGGTCCGAAGAAACCGGTAAATTGCACTTCAATTTTACGCGATTACGATTTCTTCAAAGATAACACGACTGTATACAACAAAAGATGTCTCTTTCTTATACATGTATATACACGTACGTATGTATATACGCGTGTATGTATATACATATGTAGATATGTATATATACATATATATATGTGTATATATGTATATGTATAAATTTATTTCATGCCAGTTGTATGTATATAAATAAATATAAAATAATTTTTTCCTTTCTATTTTTCAACTAACAAATATATTAAAATGATCTGTCGTCATAATTGAACATGACGTTTTCGAGAATATTTGTAAAAATTAAAAATTAAAAATTAAAAAAAAAAAAAAAAAAAAAAAAAAAAGAGAAAACAGCAAATTATCTTCCCGCAAATTATTGCTCATATTATATGTATGATAATATAAATGTTAATAAATAGCTATGTATTTATTTATTTATAAAATTTATAATTGAAAAATCATTTATCATTTCATATAATACTATATACACTTATATTATATTATATCATATTCATTTTTATGTAATAAACAAATATTTGTTCAGATATAAAAAAGAAAAAAAAAAACATCGAAAAAATAAACGAAACAATTTTTTTTGTATATCATAGAAAAAAAAAATACATATATATATATATATACACACATACATGCATGCAAATTAAAAAACATCCGGTCATAATATTTCCTCGATTTTCAATCTTTCGTCGTCCTTGAAAAGTGAATCGCAAGAAATGTGAAAACAAAATGTACGCCAAGAATGAAATCCAGCAGGATAATAATTTGATAATTTTTAAAGGTTTTACTCGAGACTCGTAGAGGGGGTAAAAAAGAAGAGAAAAATGGAATGAAGGACACCAGAGAATGTAAAATGAAAGAATGAAAGAATGAAAGTGAGAAAAAAGAAAAAGAAAAAGAGATAGGGGGAGAGAGAGAGTGAGGGGAGAGAGAGAGAGAGAGAGAGAGAGAGAGAGAGAGAGAGAGAGAGAGTAAAAGAGAAAGAGTGAGAGTAAGAGGTATGGTAGAGGGTAGGGGGTGGCTTGGAAGAAAAGAAAAGTCGATAGTCACGGTTGATTAGGTATCCCAGAAAATACTGAAAGTTGGGTCGAAAGAATACGTTCAGGAACGCCAACAACAACCGCCGAATTTTTCTAATGGCGCCTACAACGACGCCGAACAACAGCGGGGGTGACGTCGACGTCGGCGGTGGCGGCGGCGGTGGTGGCGGCAGTAACGACGGTGGTGGCGGCAGTAACGACGGTGGTGGCGTCGGTGGTGGCAGCATCGACAACGAAAATGATGACGACAACAAAAGACAACAACGACGCCAAGCTCAGACTATGAAATTTTTCAAATTTCCGGCCATTTTGGCAGTCTGAATAATTCGCCATTTTGAATAATGGCGTACACGATTTTCCTCAAATGAT